ATGAGAGATTGAGAGATTTTCTACTCTCTAAGGGATTCAAGACGAGCAAGGTTGACACCACTCTCTTTACCAAGAAGCTAGGCAATGACTTGTTTGTGTTGCAAATCTATGTTGATGATATCATATTTGGATCAACCAATCAAGATTTTTGTGAGGAGTTTAGAAAGATGATGGCAAGTGAGTTTGAGATGTCTATGATTGGAGAGCTTAGTTACTTCCTTGGTCTTCAAATCAAGCAAATAAAGAATGATACATTTGTGAGTCAAGGCAAGTACATCAAAGACACGCTCAAGAAGTTCAGAATAGATGATGCTAAAGCTATTAGTACACCAATAGGGACAAATGGAAACTTGGATAGTGATGCTAGTGGCAATATGGTGGATCAAAAGATATATCGGTCTATGATTGGAAGCCTACTCTATGCGACTGCATCAAGGCCAGATGTGATGTTTAGTGTATGCATGTGTGCTAGATTTCAAGCCTCACCGAGAGAAAGTCATTTGAAAGCAACCAAGAGAATATTGAGATACTTGAAGCATACACAAAATGTTGGATTGTGGTATTCCAAAGGAGCTAGATTTGAGTTGATTGGATATTTGGACTCCGATTATGAGGGATGCAAAGTTGAGAGAAAGACCACATCAGGCACATATCAACTATTGGGAAGATCACTTGAGTCATGGTCATCAAAGAAGCAAAATACTGTAGCACTTTCAACCGCCGAAGTGAAGTACATTTCGGCCGATAGTTGTTGTGCTCAATTACTTTGGATAAAGGCAACTTTGAGTGACTTTGGAATCAAATTCAAATAAGTGCCATTGCTATGTGACAATGAAAGTGCCGTGAAGCTCACAAACAACCCGGTTCAATATTCAAGAACAAAGCACATAGATGTCTGCCATCATTTCATAAGAGATCACCAACAAAAAGAGGACATTTGCATAGAGAGTGTGGGCACCGATGATCAACTTGCCGATATCTTCACCAAGCCACTTGATGAGAAGAGGTTTTGCAAGCTAAGGAATGAATTGAACATACTTGACTTCTCCAATATGTATTGATGCAGCCCCATTATATGACATGCCTCTCCTTTGAGCAAAGCAAGATAAAATTGATTGACTTGTCATTCATCTATTTGCTAAGGACTTGTTTAGTGCATCTAGTCATTCCTCACATGTCTTAGGATCATTCATGGAAATCAAATGAATTTGATGCTTGTATGATACCACTATTGCTTGTATGCTTGAAATGATCTAGTGGTAGCATATGGCATGTTTGTGGGCTTGTGAACCTAGTGTTTGATCTAGAAAATAAGTTATAAGTGTTTAACTCAACATGGTGCATGATAACCCTCATTTGGAGGTGTGAAGAAGCTTGCCCTTGGATCAAACCGAGTTAAATATCTTTTGTAAATGATCTAGATTAAACCAAAACTAGGAAAATGATCCTCACTTCACATGGTTTCACCCCAACCTATCTAAAATTTAAGTTCATCTTTGTGCTAATTGTTAACAAAGGGGGAGAGAAATTCACAAAGATAATAAGAGATAGGGGGAGCAAACAAATGGAATGACATTGTAAGTGGATCATTTAAAATTTGAAGCACACAAGTAGGGGGAGCAAGCTCATAAACTTGTATGTTGCATTTGAATGTGCATTACATATATTTGCTTGCATGGCACAAGTTCTTAAATTCCCTATCCATGCTTATGTGGTGTATGCTAGACCATAGAAAATGATTGATGAAATAAAAACTAGCATGCATAGGATAGCTAGATATACCTTGATCTTATACAAGTGGTACTAGAACCTTGCTTCTAATGTTGATCTCATGAGGTATCTAGTTTGTCTTTGCTTTTCAAGTGATATCTAGCAAATCATGGTGCTAAGGATGGTGTTCAAATGGCAACTCCGATTGGTATCACGCTTCAAAGGTCCATTCTTTACACCTTAGCATCATTTGATAGCTATTACTCTCAAACTTTCTATCCATGCATATGTGCAAGCTTTTAAATCCAAACTCTTAGCACATATGTAGGTGTTCTTAACTAGACAATTCGGTCATCTAGTGCCACTAGGTGTTGGACTTCATGCATTGCATTTAGGCCTAGTGCACGTCGGAGAGCAAGCGAAAACATTTATCAAAAATGTTTTAAGAAATACTAACTTGGCTCTAACATGTTTTGAGAAAACACTTTGAGAGTTAACATCGCTTGCGAGGAGTAGCTCGAGTTGAGGTGGATCGAATAGGTAAAAAGTTTGCAACTCGGTGAGCTAGCGGAGGAGCCTGGCTAGCACCGCCACCCCCTGTTTGGTGGCACCGCCACCCCTAGGGCGGTGCCCACCTAGGATCGACAGAGAAGGGCCGAGAGCGGCCGGTTTGGGGTGGTCACCGGACACGCCGGTGTACACCGCCTCGGGTGCGGCGGTGCACCGCTTGGTCACCACCATTGGGTGCCCGGTGCCACCACCGTTTTCCTCCAGAGATGGGCGCAAGCGAGGGAGGTCACCGCCATGGTCACCGCCAAGGTGATGGTGGTGCACCGCCCTATTTTTCTAGAGGGCCGGTTTTGAGAACTTGGCTGGGATGGTCACCGCCACCCCTAGAGCGGTGCCACTGCCATGCCATGTCCGGTGACCAACGGAAAGTGACCGTTGGGGCACCGCCACCTAGGGGCGGTGTGCCACCGCCGTGTTCGGTGCCCCCACGCAGATAGCTCCAAGGGGTATAACGGCTCTATTTGCTTGTGTGGCTATAAATAGAGGGTGTGGCCGGCCTTGGCCACCCTCTTAGCACCTCTTACACTTGTGCACGCCCTTTAGAAGTTGAGCAACACACTCCACTCACTTGTTCACTTGATTTCATCATCTTGAGTGAGATTGGAGAGCCTCTAGTGCATTACATTGAGTTGCATCATCTTGTGGCACTAGTTGGATGATTTGGACTGGTTGTGAGCTTGTTACTCTTGGTGTTTGCCGACACCTAGACGGCCCGGTGATTGTAGGATCGTTGAGCGGAGTTGGTGATTATCTCCGGCCTCGATCGGTTGCTTGTGAGGGGTCTTGTGCCTTCCCCGGCAGAGTGCCAAAGGCAACTCTAGTACATAGCTCATGTCATTGAGCTACCTCACTTATGGGTAGGTTCTTGCGGTGTCCAATTGTGTGGACGAGGTTCGTGCAACACCTCTTAGCCGCCGAACCACCAAGTGTTGGTCGACACAACAGAGACTAGCGTGCCAGTAAGCACGTGAACCTCGAGAGAAAAATCTTGTGTCACTTGTGATTGGATTTCTCCCGATGATTGGTTGTCTCCACATTGTGATTGGTTCATTCCTCGATGCGGCAGTATAATCACCATACTCACTCCTTTACATTCCTTGCAAACTAATTGTCAAGCTCTTTATTGTAGTTAGTCTTTGAGAGCTTGTTAGTTTGGTTAGCGTGGCTCTTTAGTTAGTCTTTGGAAGCACACTAGCTTAGTGAGTAGTGACCTAGCTTGTTGTGTGTGCTAGTGATCATAGCAACTAGAATTATTGGAATAGGTGGCTTGCGACCCTTGTAGAGCTAGAGCAAAATTGCATTACGTCGTTTGTCATACTAATCAATTGCTCTAGTGTCTTAAAGAGTTTTTAAATAGGCTATTCACCCCTCCTCTAGCCATATTAGGACCTTTCACCCGTGCCACGGTGTAGGGCTCCCAGGCACTGTACGGCGCCGCGCCGGAGGGCTACACGGCCCCGCCCCGCCGCCCCCGTGAGCCGCCGCTAGGGCGCGAGCGCCTCCCGCCGTCGTAGGAGAGGGAGAGAGAGGACAGAGAGAGGAGAGGTGGGGTGGTGCTGTGGTTGGTGAGGGAGAGCCGAGAGAGGAGAAGGAGAGGAGGGGTGCGGCGCTAGTGGGAGAGATAGGGAGGCGTGGGGAGGGAGTGCGGTGGAGAGGGCCGCGCTCGATGGGTCGGGAGAGGAGGAGGGGCGCTGGGAGAGTGGGAGGTGAGGCTAGGGTTAAGTGCTGCTTATATATGAGCCCGGTCGAAAGGCGGAGATGGGCTTTTTCTGGGCTGGGAGCTGAGCCACTATTTTTGGAGGTGGGCTTTATAGTGTGCCCGCCTCCAAAAATCGGTTTATGGAGGCGGGCAACTTAAGACGACCGCCTATTTTTAGAGGCGACCGTCTTAAGTTGCCCGCCTCCGTAAATTGATTTTACGAGGCGGGCAAAAGTGCCTGCCTCGGTAAATAAAAAGTGCCCGCCTCTTTTAATCGTACGCATTAACCGAGGTGGTTAGATTTTGTGACCGTCTCCGTTAATAAAAGGGCACTATCTTGCAAAATCATTTGTGTAGTAGTGACAATCTATTTGAAATGCTAGATTTTTTTGTATGTTCCCATTTTTTTCCTATGAAATTGAATTGATTGTGAAGTTCTTATGTTCCAATCGGTTTGAAACGTTATCAAACTTCTATTGAGCATGGGCTAAGACTCATGGTGCGCAATCCCGAGGACCTGTCTTGTCATGAGGGGGGGGTGAGTAACAACTCATTTGCAATTTTGTAAGAGGGTTAGACGGACCCACCTTTGTTCCTTGCACTAAACAAATGGCCGGGTAATGCAAATAGCGACAATAGCGAGATGATTTTTTTAGAACTACCACGCTTGCAACGCAAGCGCATGCTCGCTCCTCGAACACACGCATGCGTAGATCTTACCCTCGAGCCTGGCATCATATAACATCACATAAATTGGGCTGTGTTTACGGTTTGGGAACCCTAGATCGACCTTTGTTTTTTTTAGCAAAGGAATCGTAGATCGACCTGAAAGCCTTGCAGCATATAATATAACATCACATAAATTGGGCTTTATTTAGCAAGGCTTTGATATGGCCTTAATTTGAGGCAGACTGGATTAGGCCCAGTTACGTTAGCCCATGGCCATCGTGAAAATCACAAATTGAAAAGGTGGGGTGGGTGTGTAACACGGCATCAGAAGGGATAGCATCGTCATCGCAAAATGCAGGCGCTCCTACTCCCCACGCGGGCCGCGCCGCCGCCGCCGCCGCTGGCGATGCTTCGGCAGCGTGCGGTTTCCGCGTCCGCGTGTGCGTCGCAGGTCTGCCGCACCCTACTCAGTGCCTGCGGTTGCTTCAGCTGTGGGGTCCACGGAAGCGCTCGGCGGCACCTCACAGTGGCGGTGGCGGCGGCCCCGTCCTCGTCCTCGCCCTCGCCCTCGTCGGGACCGCTCTGCCGACGCCTCCACCCACCGAGCAGGAGGTGGAGCGGGTCAAGCTCGAGCAGGTGCCTTGCTAGTTCCTTTTCTTCCTTTGGTCTATTGGTTCGAAGCCCCTGGCCGTGCTCTGTGGGTGGAGTAGGGTTTATGTGATAGTTTGAGTGAGGAATTTCGTGATCTGGTGCTCTCTGGCAACCTTGGTAAGATTTTTGAGGCTCCTTCCATCAAGAAATGTTGTTAGCTGTGGACTATGCAGATGGTTTCTTGTTTGAGGAAATGTACTTGGGCAGGATTGGTTTTGCGGCACTGGGTGAGATGTGTGTTATGTCGCTTATTAGGAATTGTTACAGCCTAGGGAGAAGGAACGCAAACAAATTTGTGGGGAGCTAGTTAAGGGTAGATCTTTGTTCGTAGTTGATCATTCTTCATTCCCCACTGTAGCATCAGCTTGTTGTCAGATAGTTGATAGGCATGATTACTTTTGTTCATCAGTGATTTTGAAAGTGTGCATTAATTTCTGACTGACATTTTCGTTAAGCATCTATTGCTTTCCAATTTTAAAAGCAATCAACGAAGGCATGCTTGCAGTTTAGTTCCATGTGCTTATTAGGATTTCTTAGTTCATGCCTAGGCACTTAGGTTTCTTATTAGTACAAGAGACATGAAAAAAAATAGTTTTAACTCATATGCCATTTAATCGAGGTATACAAATTATGGAAGTTCTAGTACAATGAGCTGGTTAATCTCCACTCTTGCCCTGTTCGTTTGGGCTTGTTTGGCTGATAAGCCATGGCTGAAAGTACTGTTGGCTGGTTTGGTGTGAGAGAAAAATACTGTTCGTTGGCTGATAAGCTATGGCTTATAAGCCAAATACGACCAAGCGAACAGGCTGTTTTTTGTTTGAAATCATGTTGCTTATTCACATGTGTCATTGTTAAACCGATTATGTGTTTCTTGCTCGTCTCTAAATGGCCTCTCACATGTACAGTGATTCTGAAATAACGTTTTTTCTCTATTTATTTTGTATTGGCTAATTGGACAGGTTATGAAGAGACTAGAGAAAACAGCAAGGTATTTCAAGAATTTGGGTACCTTTGGGTTCTGGTCCCAGTTGGTGTGCACAATTGTTTCTGCTGGAATTTTGGCATTCTCTACAGTTGTAACGGGGAAGGTGACAGCACCCTTTACATTCTATGCAACTGCTGCTGGTATTGCTGCTGCTTTTATCTCAGTCTTCTGGTCATTTGGTTACATCCGTCTCTCTGAAAGGCTTAGAAGAACATCAAAAGAACCTGCTAAGGTACCCCCTTTTCTGAACTATGCACTGATTTTACATTGTTAGCCGCAATAACAGAACTATTCACATGAAAGAAGTTTTTCCAAAAAGTCTTCGTAGACCTCTTTCCAGTGAAAAATCTTTGTACCTCTTTCCCACTGGCTTTGGCTCATCTTTTTTTACCTGCCTACTGCCATTCCTTGTGCTACCAAGCTGGTTTAGACCATGATATTTACTCCCTTTGTTCCAAATTATAAAACGTTTTGGCTTTTCTAGATACATTGGTTTTACTATGCATCTAGACATAGTGTATATCTAAGTGTATAGCAAAAGTTATGAATCTAGAAAAGCCAAAACATCTTATATTTTGGAATGGAGGGAGTATCAATTATCATAGACAACTTCTAGCTGCTTTTCGACATAATGTATTATATAGTTAACTTTGTTTGGCAAGCTTGGTTAAGTTAGAAATGAAACTGTTTTTTTGCATAATTTCATTAAGAGACATATGAAACTATTAATTAATTGCTTTTCAGGCTCCTCCACGCGCTGATGTTGTTAAGAGCCTGAAAAATGGCATTGTTCTTAATATTCTTGGGATGGGCGCCGCTGTTCTCGGCATGCAAGCTACTGTCGGTGCTTTGGTAGCAAAAGCTCTCACAACCTCTGCAGTACCCTATTATGCTGCTGCTCCTGGCCAAAGCCCTGTCTTGGCTTTAGATGTTTTCCTAGTTCAGGTACTCGATTGTTTACTCCTATTACTAGTATTTGGCATGAATCATTCTCTCATCAAAGTTTGCACATGTAACCAGTCAAACAGTGTCATTCTTTAGTTTTCAGCATTACCTTAATCAGCTCTTTTTTGGATAAAGTACCTTAATCAGCCTTGACCATGGTTTTGGAGTATTGCACTTAACTTCATTGTTTCCTGAAAATAGTCCATCTATAGAGTTTGCTAAATATTTGCTTAGTGAAATCACATGTCTAATAAAAAGTATTTTGTCACTTTCTTGATATCATTTTTGTCCTGGTAGATTCTTGTAGTAGTAGTAGAACAACTCGACATAGCACTGTAGGAGTACATTGGGAAGGCGCCATCACATCTAGGAATAACATCAAAATCAATGCAGCCTGCGACCTGACAATGCAAATAATTGTAGGGCTCCAGATTAGAATCCTGCAGTCTGCAGACATGCCTTGTTTAGTTGGACCCCAAAGTCCAAAAAGTTGCTACAGTACCTGTCACATCGAATGTTTGCGGTCCGTGCATGGAGCATTAAATGTAGACGAAAAGAAAAACTAATTGCACAGTTTGGTGGGAAATTGCGAGACGAACGTTTTGAGCCTAATTAGTCAATGTTTGGACACTATTTGTCAAATAAAAACGAATGTGCTACAGTAGCCCCAAAATCCAAATTTCGCGAACTAAACAAGGGCTAAACAAGGGCTAGTAGAACATTGGAGGGGACAGAGTTGCAGTTGAAGTTGTGTTCTTTTGTGCTGATCATCGTAGTCTGTTACTAGTATTAAAGAGTCTTTAATTTATCATCAACGTACACTATTATACTACTTACTAATCTTTGTTAACCCTCATGTTTGAGTGAGCAGGCTTCAGCGAACACCATCCTGTCGCATTTCCTTGGGCTGGCGAGCACCCTGGAGCTGCTGCGCTCGGTGTCACTGCCTCCAGCGGAAGCTGCCCCTGCCTCTTCCCCGGCCCCTGCACGGGCCTGAGCCATCCTGATCCATGGGCAGGTCAAGAAAGACCCTTCATCCCTTCGGCTCTACTAGACACTTGCTGTTCTTGATTGTATGTAGTACAACTTGCATCAAGCTTTGCATACACATCGATGCCTTCCAGTTCGGCTGGAGACAACATGTTGGCGTAATCCCCGCCGAGTGTGAGCTCTTGCATGAGCACTTGCGAATCACATGTATGTGGCGCATGTTTGCTGGTGCTGTACAAGTGAGTGTAAGTGACTACTGGCTCGCTCGTTCCTAATCATTGTACCTTGCTTCTTCGCTGGTTTCAACTCTCATGTCTCAGCACAGCAGTGAGCAGTAGCACGGCGCGACGACGTCCGGGGTCCGAACAGTTTTTCTGGTGGGCCTGGAGGATGACGAGCTCCACTGGGCATCGGCAGCTGGCCTGCCCCACCGTCGCTCCGGCGCGCACGGAGCGCCGCTCATTACAGCCTCCGTGCCACTGCCGCTGCCCGTGCCGGCAGCCCGGCACGAGACGAGAGGCGGTTACTGCCAGCCAGCGCATGATGCACGCACATCCCATCCCATCTCGTCCTGGCGACCTGGCCAGCGGCCCCCCCGCGTTCACCCCCGCTTGTCTGCTTGCGGGGCGCTGGAATCCGCGACCGCGAGCCCGCGTGCGACCAGCCACGCACGCACGCACGCGCAACACATTGAGTCGGCACGGCGGCGTGTTCACCGCCGAGCTGCCTGCGTGTGCGGTGTGCCGGTGGCTCGCCCTTATCCTGATCCCCGTCTCGTCGTCGCCACCCACCGGACAGCCGTACGTATTCACTTCACTGCCTCGCGCGGCTTTTAGTGACAGTGTCAGACCGGGGCGCTGGTTGATCACGGATGAGCTGGCTCGCGGATCCCATCCACACGCGGCGGAACCACCAACCAAACCAACCGCCGCGGAGCCGAGCAACGCTGCCTGACCCTGGTGGACGCGACGCGACACGACACCGACACGAGACGGACCCAGAGCACCAGACGGGGCCTGAAATACCCCGAATCCCAGACGACGGACGGCGGTTGGGGCTGTGGGGATCGCGCCCGTCCGTCGGGTACGTACGTGGTGCTGGTACGGGCGCCTCCGTACACGCCCCGCCGGTCTCGGTCTCGGCCAGGCCTGGACCGCGCGCGCATAAACAAAGCCGCACCGGCCGTTTGGTGCGCAGGCAAGGATTCCTCGCCGTGCGCCGGGTGCGCGGCAGCCGGCAGCAGCGGCGTGGAGTGAATCTTGGACCTCTCATCTCCTCCTCTTTTGCCAGCCCGGCGATAAACAGCAACAGCGATTGGGCCGGTGGGCCCCCACCTAGGCAGGCCAGAGATCGGGAGGGAAGGAAGTTGCAAGGAAGCTGCGCGCGTAACTGAAAAGGGTGGGGAGGTTGGTTGGTCTGGTCCGGTGGTCGCCGTGGAGGTGGATGGATCTGCCTGCCTCCCCCTCTATTCTATTGCTGTTGTGCCTGTGCTGTGCAACTGCAACTTCGCAACGGGATCTCTCGGCCGCACCCGCACCGCATCGTCCGCAGCATGGTACAGTCAGTACAGTACCCGCCGGTGTCGGTGCGGTGGGAGGCCGTTAAAGCCGCGCCAGCCAGGCTGGCCCTGCGCCTCCCCAGATCCACAATCCACATCCACCACGTCCCCCCCTCTCTCTCTCTCTGATGCCGATCAGCCGATGCGATGCGCAGATGCGGCCTGCCTGCCTGCCGCCGCCTCTGACTTCTTTCCGCTGCCCTTGTACCCTCCTGCCCTGCTTTCACTGAGGCGTTCGAGGGCCGTCGTCGTCGTCTTGCGCGAGCGCGACGCGCTGGGGCCGGCCGTACGCGACACGATACGTGGAGCCGTCTCGCGTATCCACCGGGGTATAGGGCCAAGGGCCTCGACACGACAGCGTGTGGGTTTCACTGCGTTGGCGTGCGTTGGGTTCCAATCTGGAAGCGACGGATCGATCGGCCGATCCGTTTTGCTTCGCTGTGCCGCGGCGCTGCTGCTCCCCGTGGAGGTGGTTGCTTCCTGCAGATCATGGGGGGTGGGAGTGTGGGACTGGGAGTCAATGCTCTGTACGGCGCATGCCGCCCCATCACCTATCGGTCTCCGCTGCCTACCTCCTCCCGTCTACCCGAACGGTTGCACCTAGGCGGTTACAGTAACCACTAGTAGCTTCACCGATGCGCCCGTAACCCAGTCATCGAGCTAGAACACACCAAGTTACTCTAGTACCTGCACTGCACTAATCAAAGCCCAGGCACATGGAAGCACTGTAGCCATGCGTAAACATGGTTACATGGCCAAAGCGCAGTAACAGTAACAGTTACAGTTACTACCTACGTCGCCCTCACCGCGATGGATCCAACAGCCGGTCCTGTCAGGCCCGGTAATAACCGGCCACGTTTTTTTATTCTTCATTCATTCACCAGCAGTGTCAGTGGGCAGTGGCAGTGCCAGCTCGTCCCGGCCGTACGGGTATACGACCCACCCACCCGTGGCGCGTCAGAGCACACGCACACGCACACACGGAGAGACGCCTGGGCCGCGGGAGCTGAGCTGTGCCCATAACTGCCATGCCTGATGCCTTCCCTCCCTCCACGAAATCGCGCCGGTTTTTATTGCCCCGCGCGCCCCACCCCCCCGAGAGATTGCGCTCCAGCCTGGCCATTGGGCCCCACCACCCGCAAACCGCCGCGCCCTCCCCCTGTCGCCTTCCTCACCCTGTCTGCCCACCGCGCGCCTCCCTCGCTGCCCTGCGGGACCGGGCATCGCGTCGCCCCAGCTGTCAGCGGCGGAGCCGGTCCCGTCGGCGTGGTCGCTGGAGCCCTCCAAACCGTCGCGCACGCACAGCGGTCGTACTGTCCGGCTAGTACACATGTACGGGCGCGCGGGCGGGAGCTTTTGGGGTGGAGGGGGAGGGTGGACGGGGACAGGCGCGACACGGGCCGAATTTTTTATTTTTAGCTAATTTTTTTAAAAAAATTCATAAATATGTCTTTAGAGGTAAGATTTTAAAATCTGTACTTTTAGCTCGGCGCTATCGTTGCTGGCACCGAGCTTACACTGCTTGGCACCATCATTGCTGGCATCGAGGTCTTGGGCTCGACGCAGACGTGGCGGTGACTTGACAGGTAGCTCAGCGACATAGACCCTGACGCCAAACTTGGCGCCGTAGATCCTGGCGCCGAGCTCGCCGCCGTAGATCGTGGCGTCGAGTTTGGCGCCAGGATCTATGGCAGCGAGGTGGTGTTTTAACCCTGGCCCTAACTTTCCTGCCCGAGCTTTCTTCCTCTTCTTTCTCCTCCCTCTCGGGTTTTCTCTCTTCCTACTTCGCCATACCTCACGAATCGACATATTGGACCTTGGAAACTTTGATTTGATCCGTAGATCTTCGAGAGCAAGGTATCCTCGCTCCCCTTCTAATTTTTTTCGCATCGATTCGGTATATATTAGTCGGATTTTTCAACCTAAGAATCGTCATTCCTTAGGGTTTCATGCAATTTTTAATATTTGTATTATACAACCGTAGGATGATGCCAAGGCGTGAAAAAGCTAGCAAACCTAGACAACCGCAGCGTATGTTGTTATGCTATGGATTCATTGTTGTGCATCAAATGGGAAACCCTAGGTTTAGGGTTTAATGTTAATTGCTTTCGGTTCTTAGAACGAAATTGGTTGTACTGTAGTTATGGTTCTCATTGACATTAATTTGTGATGTTTTGATTTTTGTTTGTTAAACTATAACCGTTTTGTTAGATGCAAGAAATATATCGGGAGAAGTTTTGACAAAAACGGGGTCGTCCTCAAGAATTATACCCCAACACGTCAAGCAAAGTTGCCCCCATCCCTCCTGACCTCCCTGTCTCTAATTGTGACTGTGGTTTCTCGGCCCACGTGTTTCAATCGAGACATCCAGACACAGCGTCGCGTTGCTTCTACACATGCAGTCGTTTTAATGTAAGTAATTATTTTCACTATCTTTTTTTCTTTATTTGTGTAAGTATACTACTAATATTTTATTAGAATCTTGTTGTGTAGGACCATGAGAGGTGCCTTTTCTTTCGGTGGATCAACGGTGCGGACAAGTTTGACCCTAGATATCTCCTTTTCGACGATTGGTGTAGAGGGAGACATCCACATGAGCACTTCAAGCGGTAGATTCCACCCCCCTAACCCCTCACCAATTACGGCTAAGGAGAAGCACCTGGCCGTAGTTAGACGACTCGAGGAACCTCCTCTGTGTAAATACGGAGATCGAGCTGTGTCCGAACCATACGAACCTTCCGAGTTGAAAAAAGGTTCTTCGAACGTTCTGCAGATGAAAATTACTGTCGCCCAGTGCAACGAAAGAACTCTATTGGGTTAGCAACATGGACTGTTTCACCTTCGAAATGTAAATACTAGGATTTGTTCGTCCCTTTGTTAGTTTGGTTAAATTAAACCTCCAAAATCGTATTTGTTTGGACACTTGCGTACAAGCCGGATCTACACAAGATCTTTGAAATTCGTATTTGGCCACGTTTAGTTTCACCGAATCGGCGCCGGCTGAATTTCTGTCAGCACTGTAGCTACAGTAGCGTTTGTTTTTGTTTGGTAATAATTGTCCAATCCTTGACTAATTAGGCTCAAAACGTTCGTCTCGCAAAGTATAACCAAACTGTGCAATTAGTTTTTGATTTCGTCAACATTTAATACTCCATGCATGTACCGTAAATTTAATGTGATGGGAAATCTTCTTTTTGCATAGTGTCAAAGTTTGGAATTGGGGTGAACTAAACACCCCCTTTGTTTCAGCCCCATTTTCGTTGGTCAGTTTTAACGTTCTCCTCCCGGGGGTTTGACGGTACGGAACCACGGAAACAAACCAACAATTCAAAATTCAAACCGTCCGGGGACCCCATGATTACCAGCCAAACGGCCTCGGTCCCGCCGCTTCTCACCCGTCGTCCCCCGCGCTCCTACCGCCACGTGGGGCCCAGACGTTCCGGACCCCA